TTTTTTTTTTTGGCGGAGATATTCACTCAGTAATTGACTACCATGAACCTGTGAACAGAGTTCCCTGCAGACCTCCCTCTTTCATGTTATTAATTCAGGATAAGACCCCAAAACCTCCCAAATAACAACAAACTGCAGTTATAGTGGCAGCTATCTCCTTATACCCTCAGATGTTACTGTACTGAAAAATTTTTATAAACCAGTACACTCTGGCTCTTTGAGGAAGGGTTACATTTTGACTGTTGCTCCCATGCAGCATACATTCTCTTATTATATTCTTATATATTTTATTTGATGTCTTATAAATTTTATTTGCTGATTAAAGTGCCTTCGATTTTGTGTTACTTATTTATCTACTTTATATTTCATTTGTATTTTGTGGCATTCATGTGGACGGCAAAGTAAGAATTTCATTGTACAGGGAAACACGTTTCCTAACTGTGCATATGACAATAAACACTTTGACCACAATAAGTGTCAATCCATTCATCCATTCATTAGATATACCAGGGTTTTTCAACTGGTTGCGACCGAGGGACCCCCATTATGACAAAGAAGTAGCCTGACGACCACTGTTGTGGGGTGGATAGACTGGTCGGGTGCCATTTTAATCCTGAAAGACACCTTGACCTTTCTAAATGTTATATATGTGCATGAATTTGATTATTCACAAGAAACAATTAATACATGTAAATGTGTGTAAAAAGTAATCCCTACAGTGAAACAATATTATTGAATGTAAGAATAGGGACTGCTGGCTGTGCCTTCATTGACCACCAGGGGCACTGGTTGAAAAACCCAAGCCATTTATCACTGATCACAAAAGGTACAGTACATGATAAAATATGTATGGAATGGACTCTTTAAGCACATAACATAAAATCCTACCTCTGTAGCCAAGACTGAAGACTTGTCTGAGGCCTTAAAAGTAGATAAAATCACCTCAGTAAATTGCCACTAATGCAGTTGCTCCATCTTGTCCCGGAAAAGTCTCACTGTACCATGAGGTTTGAAGCTGGGGTGGAAAATAGTGTTGGAAATATTTGTAAAAAGACAGAAGCTCAGAAATGTTCTCACAGATGCTGCCTTTGTGTTGTAATTAGTTAATTTAAACTAATTTATTGTGCGACTAGAGAACAATACGTGGCTTGTTAAAGTCTTTTCTGTTCCCCTCCTCTGCAGAAAGGTCAGAGGTCAGAGTTTGGACAGAACAGGGGGGTTATTCTCTCTTCAGCTATGTCGAAGAATGGAACTATTGTAATAATAATAATATGTGAAAGAAGAGACAAACATTTACTGTGTTTTTATTTCATGTTTTACAGGGTTACAAAGACAATCCACCCATCACGACAGAAATGTATTCATATAAAAAATTCTTACAAAATGTGCAGCCTGTGGGCTGTGTACATGCAGAGGAGCATGACGAGCAAAGAGAAGCACACACTCAGTCAATATTATTTATAAAATCAACACTTGTCGGTCGGTTTGGAGGCAATCAGGCAGAGCTCTCATGCCTTCTCGTAGGTACGCACCGCATGGGCATCTTCAAAGGTCAAATTCTACAGGAGAGAGACGAAACTTGTTATGACAGGGGACTGAATATTCCCAAGTTTCACATTTTTAAACAGATAATGTTTTGTAGCAGGTCTGTGCTGTGGCTGAGCACAGAATGCTGAGCAGCCACTGGCAGAGAGGCGGCTTTTGGCAGTGGACCGGTTGCTAATTCACTGTGTTCAATGCACGTAAGCTAATCTGACTATGAGAGGCACACTCACTCCTCATGACAAAAACAAAACGGATTCCTTGCTGTGTTTTTGAAGCTTCAAAGACTAAATGTATCTGAAATGTGTTTTGTCACTTTTCTATTACTTATGTTTGCTACAGCTGCACCAGTTCACTGCTGAATATTGTCTGAAGTTACACACCACAACGTGAAGAGAGCAAAGGCTATTGCCCAGTGACATCACATGTTCTAGCTTTACCAGAAAGTTCTTTTTACTTTTACTTTACTACACAGAAGAATGAGTGATGTGCTGATCTCATAACCAACTGTCATTTGTGGCCATGTGTGAGTGTCTCGTCCCACTTTGTTAGTGCATGTGCTCTATTACATTTGTACATATTGATAAAGCCAAGCAGGAAGACAAGAAGAAGTACAGTACATGTGATCTGGGGCTGTTGGTCTTACCATGACCATCTTGCCGTCCTTGATTTCTCTGATGAGCTTGGTCTCTTTGCCGTCCCACTTCTGGACGTGGACCAACTTGTCACCCTCCAGACTCACTGTGGACTGAAAGACAAAGAAGTGAGGTGGACATTTGTGCATTGAGATGCTGCCAAACCTTGGCCTATTTCCAGAGGTTTCAAGATTTCGATACCTGTCTCTGACTCACTTAAGCAAGATTTACTTATGAATCAAATAGTTGGGATTATTTGAATTAAAGCACAGTTAACACTCTCCTACTTTTGCTAGATACTCCTTGGAAAGTCCCCAAAAACTCCCAGTGTGAATTTAAAATTACTCAAAGTTCTAACAACCCATAAGTACATACAAAGTTAAATGTTTGTTCTCCTCAGTTTACTGCATTTTACCTTCTGATGTGTAATCACAGTGTGTTTTCTTTCAGCTTACTTTGCAGTTCCTGTCATCAACGGTGGTTTCGTCAAACTCCTCTCCCAGCTTGAAGGAGATCTCTGTGTTTTTGAAGGTGCTCTGGGTGCGGATCATCACCTTGTCACCCTCTTGGCTGATGATTACAGTGGGCTTGGTCACATTACCCACCTGCCGGGTGGCAAAGCCCACACCTGAGCAGGAGAGGGCAGCAGAATATGGCTGTTAATGTCTTGTTTTATGACAACCTCTGAGCATTTCATTTGTCCTAGACACAAATTATCTGGAGGGTCTTGCATGATGCAAGAGAAATGAAGCAAAACAGAGCACACTAAAATGAAAAAGCAGTTTTAAAACATAAAGTAAACCAAAGAAATGGCTGCTACTCACCAAGTGCTTTCATGTACTCATCAAAATTCTCACTGTCAACCAGTTTCCAAGTGGCACAGAAGGCGTCGACCATGGTGGCGGTTTTTCAGGCAGTAAGCTCCACAGCACACTGAGCAAGCTGCAGCTTTTGCAAGTATTCCTCTTGTGCTATCTGCTTCTTAGTATGGTGCCTGCAGCTGGGTGGTACCCAGCATCCCATTGGCTCAGGAGATTCTCTCTGAGTTGTGATTGGGCATTTAAATGGGGTCATGGTCTTGTGGACCCTTAGACCAAAAAAAGCTAACTAAATTAGCCCATTTGTATGCTTAATGATGTATTTACTCTCATTCAAGGGCTTAAGTCGGGTTTGGTGCTTGCAAGAAAATAAAAAAACATTGCATTTCATCAAAAATAAAAAATATAAGCCCACAAGACTCAACCTCAAAGTTTATTAGTTGGTGATCTACTAGTACAAAAAACATCTTGTCAGTAAACTGGATTTAAATAAACTTCAGAGACTTATTGGTAAATGACACATAAACTTTGGCAGACAAATTGTTTTCCTTCTCAACTGGTTAGAAAGCTTTAGGAGCTGATCCATATGTATGTTTTAAACAATTTCCTCATCTTAAACTTCTTTTGTTGAAGACAGACCTCCTAGTGTTTGGAATGTGTCCTGTAGGAAAACGCCAGTGAGGCTGAATCAGTTTGTTTGACAGCCCTTTGTCCTTAACTACATTAACACCCCCCAACTGCAATTTATCACGCTCAACACACACACTAATGACTGGGACTAAACGAGACAGAGAGTATGTGAGGAAAAAGTAAATGTATGTCAGTTTGCTATTTGCTTCAGGATTTGTAATGAGGGAAGTTTGCTTTTCAAGCTTCTATTAGACAAGAAGTGATAATGTCAACAAATTCCTATTTATAGATGATTTATAGACAGTACTTATTAGTTTTTCACTTGTAGCCTTCAAAATAAAATCTTGCTTACTTGAGTTACTCAAATATTTGCTACTTTTACTGAGTCTTCACATGGGCCAGTGCAAGTTTTCTGTCAGATATACACTCACCGACCACTTTATTAGGTACACCTATACAGCACGTCCACCTTAACATCTGTTTATGAAGCTCAACATGTTTCAGTTTTTGGTGAAATCATCATAAGTGTGTAAATCCACTTATATGTTGATTACCTAGGTCATAGTTAAAGGTGGTGTTGTACTGGACTACATTATATTCAGAAGTGTCTTTATATTTTTGTCCTTCCCAGGCTATATACATAAGAGGTTCAAAATATTAGGAACACCTCTGAATATAACAGTGTATTTTTCTGGGAGTTGTAACCCCATGGTGCACTGACATTGCTTAGCCTATTCACAGATAAAAGTATAAATATCACTAATATAAAAATCCCTCCAACCCCCTTTTCCTTCCTTTGTTTCTTGGTATTTTTGTCAAGCCTTCATTGCTTCTTTCTCATTTCCTGTTCTTTCTGTTTCCTTCTGCTTCTTCTTCATCTGGTCTGTAAAAAGAAAAATGCTCAAAACAGAAGATGTTGTCACCCAAAAGCAGTAACACTCTGTTCTTCAGCAGAGGCACTTATCTTTTAAATACCAGTGTGCATTTCACTTCATCCACTACTGAGACGGTGAGCGATCACATATGTAACTGATCAGGTGTCTGCATACTTTAGTCCATGTAGTGCTGGGTTACAGTAGTGACCTCCACGTGTTGTGAAGGATCAATGTTGTCGCTCTCCGGTGAGAACTGGAAAACTATTGTCATTGTGTTTGGAATAAATGAATCCCCTGGCAACGATGGCTGTCTGGGTCTCCTATTAACGTCGTCCTAATATTCTGATCCTGTCATGTATGTAGGTAAATGGAGGTAAACTGCAGAATATAATGAGACAAACAGTCAATAGACTAACTCAAAAGACAAACAGGTACTGGAGGTGAAATGTTTGATTCTGAGGAAGAAGATTTACAACTGAGTTGGATTTGTTCATTGCTGAAAACCTGCAGGCATTTCTGTCTCTTTACCATGAAGTTTATGTGTGTGGTCACAAGATGAGTTTCTGCTTTTGTCTGTGAATAATTACTAGTAGTGAACAAATCTTAAAACATGAACAAATACACAAAGGGCATCACAGATATTATGAGTGCTGATAAACTCACAAGCACAAAGACGCATCTCCACACCTGTGGAAAAGCTGAAACAATCAGAAACAGTTTGACTTCAGCTTTTTGTTCTGTTGTTGTCGTCCTCACCTGAACAAAGATAAACGGCACAGTGAGAAAATACTTTATCATCAAAACACATGACAGAGAATGTTGTGACACTGAAACTTCAAATCCATCAAGTTAAATGTGATTTGTGTTGTTATTTTTATCAATTTGAAATGTATTTAAAATGTTTGTCATGTTCTCACCTGGTTCATCGTTAGATGAACGAGGGGTGAAGAGCAGAAAGTTCTGCACCTTTCCAGAACTTTGATTTCTGATTTAGGTGAGATGTTGTAAATGTCACTGTGGCTTAACACAAACTCCATGATGTCTCCATGTCTGTGAATTTGCCCTGTTTGTCCTTAAAACCCCACTGTGAACGTACACCATCCATTTGTCAACACAGAGCAGGATGAGATGATCTTATCATCGTCCTTCTGTTCAGTCACTGAAGATGGAGATGTGACAAAAAGACAACAACAGTAACATGAACTTCATCACTCTAATGATCCATCCATTATTTATACTGCTTAATCCTCAATAGGGTTGCAGGGGGCTGGAGCCAATCCCAGAGAGGCAGGGGCCAGGCTGGACAACAGGTCGCCAGTCTATAACAGGGCTGGCATGTAGACAGACAACCACACACACTCACACACACACACACTCATACGGACAGTTGAGAGTTACCAGTCAACCTAAGCTGCCTGTCTTTGGACCGTGGGAGGAAGTGAAAATAACATGTCCTGAAGTTCACTCTGAACTGAATGAACCCCAGTGAAAATAACAT